AAAATTTAATAAATGTAACTCTTGCAGTCAGCGCTGCAGTTCAGCCTCTGCTTCAGCGGGGTGCTGTAACTGTAGTCAGCTGGCCAGCTTAATAAAGGCTCTTAAATTTGAATTCTGAGTCGGTGGTCTATCTCGCTGAGTCAACCCATAACACCAAGACTCAAACTATAGGAGAACATTTATTTGGAACATCACAGAGGGCGAAGAAGTAATTTGTAGAAGAAATGGGCTCAGGAAACAAGTTATAGAGGCAAAGGGAGTGAGAAAGCTAATGGTACTGTGCCTGGGGGGATGGGGAGAGGGAAGGGGAAGGTGCGGCAGCTTTTGGGATGGAAAGCTTACTGGGTCCTTTGTCCTAAGGGTTTTAAGGGTGGAGATATTAGGGGAGGTCCTGGGGGAAGATCTCAGTAGAATATTCGGCAGTTTTCCAGGTGTGACTTTTCAGGTCCCACTGATTGATTGGTTGGTGCAGGGCAGGGGGTCATTATCCAATGCAAATGGTCCTGAGGTAAGCTGTGGGGTTACTGGCCTGGTTTTGCTTCTTTTCTGGTCCTGGAGCTGAAATACAACAGAGGCCTAGATGTTATCTCTAGGGAGGAAAGGTCAGGGGGTCCAAACCGCAGGACCAGTGATAAGCTAGTGGAGGAAAGGCCACCATGGGGGTGAGGCCCCACCCTACAATTGCTAGGCCCCCAGGGCTTTCTGCCCTGGTGATCTTCTGTACCTGGCCCATCGTCCTTGCTCTGCTCCTGTCTGTCTAACTGCCGACCACACTGGGCTGGGAACTTGTTTTATCCTTTAAAAGGGGGCTTGAAGAGTATACTAATCCCTACTTTCCAGGGTCGTTGTTGGGAATAAGAAATGATAAATGCACCTGGCCCAGTGACTTGCCCATATTAGGTGCTGAAGACACAGGAGCTATTATTTCTCCTGTCTCTCTGCTTTCTCGGTCCCTCTGCTTTGTTTTTTTTTTTTGTCTCTCTGCTCTTTCCTCCCCGGTAAAAGCATTGTGGTAGGGACCAGGCACTGATAAGGGCCTGTGGTTGCTTGAGACTTCCTGACCTCCTATTAAAATGACCTAGAGAGGGACTTTCAGGCAAGGGCAAAGAAATCCTGGAAATGTGGCTGTTATCCTATGGATTCAGCTCCACCGGAATCTTAGCAATGCCTGGCTGAGAGGGAGTCTCAGGCAGTTGAGAACCCTATTCTTAGAGGTCTGGTGTCTGGAAGACTAGAAGAGCCTTTCTGTCTCCACAGTTCTTCGAACTCCTCCTTCTTCCCCCACCCATTCTTTCACCCTCACCTTCCTTCCTTGTCTCTTGCTACAACATGCCCCCAGCTCCATTCTCCTCGGCTTTTAGTCTCCACCTTGAGAAGACATTGTGACCTCGCTGTCCCTGCTGGTGTCTTCCTGTTACCATGGAGAGCTAGGAGGGTGGATATGATTCCCGTCGCCAGCCTTGCTTTTTCCTTTCCCCGTTCCTCTCTTTGTAGACAGCTCCTAACCCCAATCCCTTTCGCCCTCCCCTGGTGAGTTAGTTTAAAGCCGAATGAATAGGTGACCAAGCAGAGCACTTGCTAGCCTCTCTATGGGATGGGAAAAGGGGAATTGAAATTGACTCGAGTTATATACCTGCTGGGGCTGGAGACTGAGAGAAGCTGCTGGGAGGGGCAAGACCAGTGCTCTCCGCCCAGTGTCCCGCCCCACCCCACCCCACCCCCTCCTTTCTCCCTCCCTGGGCCCAGCCACACCCTTTTCCATCTCCTCCCACTTTTGACTCTCCTCTGGCAGACGTCTGTCCCTTTTAAGGAACTCCACCCTCACGGTGGTCACACCTCTCTTCTGGGTGTAACCGGCTAGAGACAGAGTCACCCCACCCACTCCAGTTGCCCAGCTAGCACTTCAAGATCTCCCCAGTGGGGCAGCCGGGTGCTTCCAAGAAATGTCTCCCCAGGAGTTGGGGCCATTTTCGCTGAAGCCCCTGCCCTGGGCTGGGGATGCCTCTCTATGTTTCCACCAATTGTAGGCATGTGCCCCTCCTCTCTTTCTCTTTAGGAAGGCGCTGGGGTGTGGGGTGGCCAAGGCTGCAGTCAAGATTCCTGTCCTGAACTAGTCCTCCCTCGTCCGCCTCAACTTTGTATTCAAGTATTGCTTTGGGGTCTGGGTTGGTTTTCTTAGGTCCAAGCCCGGGCCCTCTCTTCCAGGGTATGTGGAGTGCAGAGGATGGGTGGAGAGTGGGCTTGGCCGGAACTGAATTGGTGGAGGTGAAAGGGGAACCGAGGATCCTCAGCTTTGGCCACTTCGACCCAGCGAACCCACTTTATTTTTAGCCGAGGGAAAGAGCCGCATGGGCAGCAGGGGGGGGGGATTCTTTTTAGGAAGTCTGCTTTGCTGGCCCCCCGATTTGGGATTGGATGCTTGAGAGCTTTGTTTCCCTGGTTGCGAGGGTGACCCAGCTGAGTCTGAATTGACTCCCTCTGCCCCGGCCCTCCTCCCCATTTTCCAGCCAGGAGGAAAAGGGGAGGTGGGGGCCCAGCAAGAGAAGGCGAGAGCGAGTCGCTGGCAGACAGGGGCGGGTGTGAAGGAAACAGCTGTCTTGCGATCAGCTGAGAAGTATGAGCCTCGGGGAGGACGGTATGAGGTCCGGAAACATCAGGAGTCCCCAGCTAGTGACATGGGCGGTAAGTGACTCTGGGATTAGAACACACTCGCTCCCATCTCCTCTGTCGAGATTCAGCCCCATCCCCACTTCTGTTCTTTAGGTTTTAGCAGAGGGGGGAGGGCATAGGTGGGTTGGGGAGGAAGGGCACAAAAACTATGTGGAACCGAATGAAACTCAAGAGAAAATGACTTTGCTAAAGGGCTGAGCAAAGAAGGGATAGATGGGAAGGTTGGGGAGCCTCATGGGAGAAATGAAGGTGTGTGTGTGTAGAGGGCGGCGGGGCGGGGGGGGGGGGGGAGGTGGAGGGGAATGGATGGCTTTGTCTAACTTAGTCCGCCTGGGCTCGGCACTCTCATTTCTCCTTAAGCAGTGAGGTTTGTCTTTGACTTAACCCAGCCCAGCCAAAGTTGCAGCCAGCGAGTACAGGGTTCAGAAGGCCAGCACTCTCAAGTAACCCCCCCTAAGCAGTAACAGGTACCCAGAGATGCTTCTGAAAGGAAGGAGAAGGGGGAAGTGAGTTAAGGTTTGAGTGTAGGCTATTGGGGACGTTGAGCTGGCTGGTGAAGTCCCGGAGGCAGCCTGGGGGAGGAGCTGCTTTGGGCGTGCCTTCGCAGCGGTTCTCAACCTGTGGGTCGCGACCCCTTTGGGGGTCGAACGACCCTTTCACAGGGGTCGCCTAAGACCATCGGAAAATACATATATAATTACATATTGTTTTTGTGATTAATCACTATGCTTTAATTATGTTCAATGTGTAACAATGAAAATACATCCTGCATATCAGATATTTACATTAGGATTCATAATAGTAGCAAAATTACAGTTATGAAATAGCCACGAAAATAATTTTATGGTTGGAGGTCACCACAACATGAGGAACTGTATTAAAGGGTCGCAGCATTAGGAAGGTTGAGAACCACTGCAAGGGAGGCCCGAGCTTGGCCTGAGGTGGAAACCTACCCCCTGCCCTACCTAGCTCTTTAAATCGTGGCCAAGGTGGTTGGTTCCTCAGTAGGTATAATATTGAACCAAATTGCTGTACCAAATCGACTTGCAGTGATTACTTGGAAGAAGTCTGTGTGTGTGTGTGTGTGTGTGTGTGTGTGTGTGTGTGTGTGTGTGTGTTTAACTCAGTGAATTTGGGGGGAATTAAATCACAAAATAAATAAAGTTTATTCTTTGGAAAAATAAATCCAAACAGATGGTCAAAGGGACAATCCTTTATTTCCTTTGGTATTATTTAGCACCTGTCTGATGTCACTCAGGCTGATGATAACTAGGCAAAGAGAATAATCTTTAAGTTTGGGTTGGAAACTAATGGAAACTATGATGGCTTGGAGCAGCAGACATAACTGCTTTCAAACTAACATCACCACTTACTTGCTGCATTACCCTGGACATTGCTTTACTCCTTTAGAGAATGTGGATTAATAAGCTTATCTCAAAAGAAGTTTGGACAGACTAAATTCCCTGATGTATGTAACAGAGGCTGCCTGCTACTCCGTGTACTAGTATATCTTTGTTTCACTTCCTTTTCTTACTCAGCTTGCCACTCTCCTCTCTGGCACACTGCTGATAGAATTAGTGCTTTGCTATCTTTAAAACACCTTCCAGGTGGGGTGAAAGGAGACCTCACAAGATTGAATTCGCTTGCCCAAAGGCTGAAGTTAGAGCACGGGTTTTATTTACTTGTGATTTAACATTGTTCCCTCTGGACTTTAGCACCTCCTAGAGAAAGGTCCACCAGTCTGCCTTTCCCCTCATTCTTCAGGCAACTTAAACAGGATGATATAACCAACAGGTCATTTGGACGACAGAAACCAGTGACTCACAAATGACCTCATCCCGTTCTTCAGAATTTTTTTTGGTGACAACAGAGAATGGCCTGGGAGCAGGGTCTTCAGGTTAGCTTGAAGGGCCGATAGGCAGGAAACATAGGAAGAACAGAAATATAAACTTAGCAAAAGTGACACATGTATCCGAAAACCAAACCAGATAATGGCTCTATTTTCAGAGCTCAGGGGAGCTATAGGTCCCTCTTGTTTAGGCTTCCAGGATACATTGGAAAGAAAATTTGGGAGAAAACATGAACTAGCACACTACCACCCTCTACCTCCCACCCCTGTCATTCTAGTATATGTATGTCTGAGATGAAGCCCTTATTGGTATAGCTAACCGAATTCCAATAATCAAGCCACCAAGCTTAGTCATCTTCCATCTCTCTAGGTTGCATGTGCCTAGCAGTGAGGGAGAACAACCATTTATTCTTTCTCTTTCTGGCAGGGGCGGTATAGTAAACCCTCGATTTGCAGACCTCGATTTAACAGAGTTTGAATTTAACGGACATGTTTTCTGGTCTGTATGTCATATGTGAAAATTAACACCCTGTTAATTTTAAAATACTTTTAACCAAGACTTGCTTATAATTAAATTATCAGGTTATTTTTTTGTCGCGAATTCACTTATTTTTTAAAAATATTTTTATTGCTTTTAGAGAGAGGAAGGGAGAGGGAGAGAGAGAGAAACATTGATGAGAGAGAAACATTAATCGGCTGCCTCCTCCATGCCCCCCACTGGGGATCTAGCTGGAAACCTGGGCATGTGCCCTGACAGGCAATCAAACCATGATCTCCTGATTTATGGGCTGGTGCTCAACCACTGAACCACACCGGCCAGGCAATTCACTGTTATTTTTAACAAATTTTAGCGAATAGGCCATATGTTGGAAAAAACACTAGTAATTTTGCCAACATAAATAAGTATTACATACCCACAACTATCGTCTACATATTTAAATCTAATAGTCACTGTTGGTAAACAATGTTCAGTGAATGATTAGCATATGATCACACCTCATCAAGAGTGGTAATTGGTTCTGTTATCTCCTGGCGTGACTTTCTTCTGCACCAGTTTTAAGGCATGCAGGGAAGATGTTCCCACATGTGCTAAGCCACATCCCAGCCTATGCATTTGTTTATTCACGGTGATGGCAAATGCAGGCATTGACTAGACCTATTCAGTATAAATTTAAAATTACTATAATGCATATAGAAAACTTTTCTGTGAAACTAAACTTTTTATACATACTTAATTTTAATTATACAAATGTGTGTACAAATGTGTGTAATAAGTCAAAACAGGTAAACTAAACTAATTTGTCAATTTGTTAGCATATGCATCTGGAAAACCTACTTGATTATATAACAGACTTTCAGCTTTAACAGGCACCTCCTTGTTAGTCCGTTATATTGAGGTTTTACTGTATTATTATTTGACACATTTCTATATTTACCCTTACCTTGAGTTGGTTATAGTTTATTGCCTCACTTAAATTGATGAATAATGAGAAGATTGCCTTTGGATATATAATTTATTTAGCAAATAGGTGTTGGCATACTATGTGTTAGGCACTGAGAAATTTGATTAAAACTCATTTTATATTTCTTTTATCTTACATGTCTTCTTTTTGCCTCCCCATTCAAACCCCAATCGTCCTTTAAGTCCTATTACAGTCCTTTGCATGTGCATCAAACCTTCCTTATTTCCTCAGCTATTTCTTAGAAATTGTACATCACTGTCTGGTCTGCTCAGTTGATACTTATCATAGAACTAGGGGCCGCCTCTGCCTTGGCCCCTGCCATCATAGCTTCGTCCAGAAGGTTGTCCGGAAGGATGTCCGGTGTAATTAGCATTTATGCTTTTATTATTATAGATATACTTACTTTTATGTACTTATTTTCATGATTTTTTCTTAAAACAGTATTTATAGATTTCCTTCATTATTAATTTCAAATTAAATGCTATTTCTATGAAAATTTCCCTGATTCTTGCTTATAGAAACAAACCTTTTGGAGTTTCCATTTCCCTTTGCTTGCATTATCTGGAACCTCTGCTACACTGTTCCCTGTATTACAGTACTTTGTGTACATATATAATTACATTGTCATATTAGGCTCATTAGTTTATCAAAGACAATGTGAGACCTTGTTTGACTTTTTGATTTTCATATAATACTGTTTTCAATTTGGGTTTTATATCTGAAGTTGGGTTTCTGATGTATTTATTATCGCCAGCTTAGCTTTATCATCTAGCCTCCGTTTTCTCACCTCTAAAATGATATGGTAATTTGTGATCACAAAGAATGTAAGTAAAACACATTGGACCCAGTTCCTGACTTCCATTACATATTTTATAAGTGGAAGTTGTCTTCATTTTTGTTACTTTAAGTAACTTATTTAAATGTTGCTTGTGTGTTTGGAGAAGAGGAAGGTAGGTTAGTGGGATAGGAAGCTGGATTTAAATGTAACATGCTAGGTACTTTGTACGATAAACTTAAAGATATTAACTGCACACTTATACAAAATAGGTATAATATGAACAAACCAAACTCTGGGATTATTAAACACTTTAAATTAAGGAGCTATAACCTAAGTCTAGAGCCAGATTCATGTATTTGATATCAATACAGGTATCAAATATCTAGCATTTTGCCTTTTTTTGTAACCTCAATCTCATCATGTCTAAAACAGAATATGTCATTACCTCTAGACTCTTGCTCCACCCCTCATTCAAGACTTTTCCTTTTTACTTCCCTGGTTCTACAACTTACCATCATCATAATCTCTGCACTTGCCTTTTTTCGTCCATGAATTGAGAAAATAGTAGAAATTACCTCATAGGGTTGCAATAAAGAAATAAAGTATTAATTTTTAAAAGCACTTAGAAGAATGCATGACAGTATAGAAAGCAGTGGGGAAATATGGCTGTTGTGGTTCTCTTACTCCATACTCAAAATGCTAGCATTAGTCCTAGCTGGTTTGGTTCAGTGGATAGAGCATTGGCCTGTGGACTGAAAGGTCCTGGGTTCAATTCTGGTCAAGGGCACATGCCCGGGTTGTGGGTTCGATCCCCAGTAGGGGGCGTGCAGGAGGCAGCTGATCAATGATTCTCTGTCATCATTGATGTTTCCATCTCTCTCTTCCTCTCCCTTCCTCTCTGAAATCAACAAAACTATATTTA